GCTTCTGCTCAGAAAGTAGGTGGTAGTCCGGCGTGCAATCTCATGCTTCTAGCCCGCTCATTAATGGTCTTGTTCATGCGCTCTGCAACACCATTTTGCTGTGGTGTTCCTGGAGTGATCTTCTCCATTTGGATTCCCTGAGCTGCACAGTACTCCTTGAACCCACAATAAATGTATTCACCACCATTATCAGACCTCAGACATTTCAGCTTTAAGCATGTCTCTGGCTCAACCATAGCCTTCCAGGTCTTGAACACACTGAATACATTAGATTTATACTTCAAGAAATAAACTCATACCTTTCTACTGTGATCGTCAATGAATGTGATGTAGTAACGGTTTCCCCATAATGCAACTCTCGCACATGCTGAAATCAACTGACTTCAGTTCTGATAGCTTGCCTCTGGACTGAAGTTCCTTTATACCTCTTTGACTGATGTGGCCAAGTCTACAATGCCACAGCTCTGCTGTGCTCTCTGCAACAGTAGTATCAACACTGTTAATTAAACCAGTAGTCATATACAACGTACCTGTTTTCTTACCCCTAGCCAGTACCAATGCTCCTTTAGTAACATTTCAGATACTATATGAGAAAACTATTGAATGTCCACATTCATCAAGCTGCCCAACAGAAATGAGGTTCTTCTTCAGTTCAGGAATGTTTCTGACCTTTTGCAGAGTCCACTTGTTTTTATTTGGAAGTGCAATGTCAATATCCTCCATTCCTACCACATTCAGAGCTTCTCTATCTGTCAGATATACTTTTTCAAAGTCACCTGCAACATAATTCCGCATCAATTCCCAATGAAAAGTTGTATGGAACGGAGCTCCTGAATCCAGTATTCAGTCATCAACAGGACTATGAACTGCCAGCAGTAGTGTATCATGTGATTTTTCAGTTATCACATTCGCACTGTCAATCTCCTTCTTCTGAAGATTCCTGCAGTTCCTCCTTATGTGGTCAGTTTTGCCACAATTCCAACAAGTTACTTGTTTACCAGGCCTTGACTTGCTCCTACTTCTATTCTTTGATTTTGATCTTCCCCTGTTTGAGTTCCTGTCAAGTGATCTCCCTCTGGAATCAACATTTAGTGCCGAACTCGAACCTGAGATTTCGCCAGAATCTTTTCTGCGCACCTCTTCAGCCAAAATCAAATCACGAATATCTTCAAATTTCAATTTAGATTTACCTGCAGAATTACTGACAGTCATCCTCATAGCTTCCCAACTCTTTGACAATGAAGCCAACAATATCAGTGCACGTATCTCATCATCAAATTCAATTTTCACAGATGATAATTGATTTGTGATAGTATTGAAATCATTCCTCGATAGAGTCAGTCGAATAACCCCCAGAACCTGTCGATCCAACAGATTTCATTCAGTTTCATCCATTCTTTCAGGTCTTTTCCCCAATAATGGAATATGGAGTTTTTTCCCATAGAGGTAGTCTTCTATCTGCATTCTCCAATAACCAAAATCTATGCCATCAAATTTCTCGATCCCTGAAATCTTCACTTCGTCTGTAGTCATTGGCTCTGATACCAGTTGTTGTGGTATATATGAAATTTAAAACGATTGACGACGAAGAAAATAAAATAGCACGAGAAAATTCACACCAAAAGAACACACAGATTTATGTGGTTCGGCAAATTGCCTACATCCACGGAGTTGCAGAGGATTTTTCTAATTGAGAAAATTTACACCAGTTTGATCACAACAACAATTAAGGATCTCTCACTTGCTCTTTCTCTTTACACCAAGATTCACCCAAGAGCAAGAACACCAAAGAAGAAGAAAAATATACAAGAGAAAACCTGTTTCTCTTTTGCCACAAGTCACCAAAAAGAACACCTTCTTCTTCCCAATCTTCTTTTTCTTCCTTCTGCTTCAACGCAAATGCTTTCTCTGCCCGTGACTTCTTTCTCTATATAGCCAAAAGGAAAGCCGTGCGATATCTTTTATTGCCAACAAGAAGCGGGAACGGTTTCGCAATCGAGCAGGAGCGGGAGGAGTCGCGACCTTTCGCGACAAAGGAGTAACGGGCAAAGCGACGCAAAGCTTCACGCGCGCGGGAGCAGACAGAGGTGTCGATTCGCGAAAATGGAGGCGGGAGATCGCGATTCTCGATCGCAGGAGTGGAAGAGGGTCGTACCGGGCTCCACTTCTAACATCTAAATGTTCGAAGGTGATGATATTCAGGCAGGTGTATTATAAATCAATTGAAACAGTGATAAATTATTGATAATTGTGGATGGAAGCTGATTAAAGAGATAATTTGTTGTTTGAATGGCCTTCATCCAAAATCTAAGAGGAAGGTTGGCCGCATTTAGTAAAGTGCGAGCAGTCTCTTCTAATTGTCTACTTTTATGTTCAACTATTTCATTTTGTTCTGAAGTATAAGCACAATTGTATTGATGTTGAATATCATTTTCTAGTAAATAGTTTTGTAATGCATGTGAAGTGTATTCTCCACCTCCATCTGTTCTTTAAGAATTTAGAAATGGTTTCAGATTGATTTTGTAATGGAAGAAACAAAAAAAAAGGTATAAATGAAAGTAATGTAATATTTATAATCTCCTAGAAATGTATGTGAGAATGGTTCCCAAATATCTGAATGAATCATTTTTAAAAGTTTGCAAGTAGTAGTAATACGAAAGAAAGAAAGTTTATGACCTTTATTTTGAGCTCAATGTACATAGTTGAGGAGGTATATTTAGTTGAGGGTAAGTATGAGCTATTCTAATAAGCACTTTCTTGTGGGGTGACCCAATCTGTGATGCCATAAGCAAGAACTTTTTGTGTTATATAGTGTTGTGAGTGAGTATAACCCTTGCTCACCAACTCCAGAAAGGAGAATCTTCTTGGTTGCTAGATTTTGAATATAAAATTTGTTAGCACATAAAGTAATTTGACAATTAATATCTTGTGTAAGTTTTTGAAGTGAGACAAGACTGGGGGATATTTGAGGAACTCAAAATAAAGGAGAAAGTAATAACTTATGCTCAGGTGTGGAAAGTATATTATTGCTCACAATGGTGATAGCTGTGTTTTATCCATTACCTACCACTATCTGATCAGGTCATGTGTAGGTAGTTGGCTATTGCAGATTTTCAATATTTTGTGTTATGTTTGTCGTAGCTCCTGTATCCAAGATCCAATCTTGGTTGTGGTTATGAATTTGGTTGTTGAGAGCAGTTGTTGAGGAGGGGAATGTAGCCTTGTAGTTGAGGCTAGTTCTATGCCAACAAAAATGTGTAGAATGACCTTTTTTATTGCATATTTGACGGATAATGTTGCTTCTTGGTTGGGTATATTTTTTGTGTGATTTTGTTTCTTGTTAATGAAGTTCCTTCCATGGGTAGAATTTTTGGGAGAATTTCTTGAGTTATGATATCGTCCTTTGCTTTTGCATGCAACCAAGGCTGAGTGTTGGGTGGTTTTGTTTATTTCTTGAAGTTGGTTGCACTCCTCACTGTAGTGAAGGGTAGAAATCCTCCAATTGGAAAGGGATTATTTTTGTTTTGATTGTTGTTTTAAAGCCTTGAAAACTCGGTGGTAGTCCATTCAGAGTATACATAATGATTTCTTCATTATCTATCTTAAAACCTGCAGCTGCAATATTGTCCGCCGAATTTTTTATAATGGTAAGGTATTGGGTCATGGTGCGGGATCCCGTACTTGTATTATGGAGTTCATATTTAAGATGGATGACTAAGGCTCTATTGGTGAACTGAAATTGGCGTTCCATGCCTTGCCAAATTTTGAAGTGTGTGGTTTAAATGGAGGATGTGGTAAAATAGATGAGGAAATTGTGGAGAAAATTGCAGCGTTGAGGATTTATCAACAAGATGTCATAGTAAATGTCAAAGTTTTGAGAAAAATAGGTTGAATACTGAATAGGCTCGATGTCTTTTCCCTTTCCTTTCATTCCTTTAAATAATAATCTTACAATCTATTTTAGGTACAAAATAAAGTGCATAGTTTAATTTAGATAACTTAATGATACATATTCCTAATCTAAATATTCAACTAAAAGAGAAATAAATCAGAATAAAGATATTGAAAATAATTTAAATAAGGAAGTTCTTAATCATAAGAAAACTCTTAATTTAGTTGTATTATTTTCGTCCTTTCTGATTGACACCCCCCTCTCAAATTGATGTTAACTGATCAGAAAACATCAATTTGCCAACAAGAAACTTTGTCGGGACCAACATTCCTCAAGTCGCGAGTGCAGAAGCCGAAAGTGTCGAACCGATAATGTCGAAGCCTCAGAGACAACTTCTGAACCATAAAAAGATTTGAGCATAAAAAAAACAAGAAATTTTTTATCATTGTCGTCCAGAAATTTGAATCATAGCCACAAAAAGGATTCTCTTCCAGTTACACGATCCAGATGTTATCGATCATAGCCTACAAAAAGGATCCGCATTCTGATCTCAATGCTGCCCAACTTAGCCCACAAATAGGATTCAGTTACATGATCCAGATGCTATCGATAATAGTCTACAAGTAGGATCTGCATCCTGATATCCAGTTACATGATCCAGATGCTATCGATCATTAGCTTATAAGTACGATTTGCGTCCTGATCCAAAATGATACCGATCATAGCCAACAAATAGGATCCAGTTACACGATCCATATGCTATCGATCATAGCCTACAAGTAGGATCCGCGTCCTGATCCAAATGCTATCGGTCATAGTCCACATGTAAGATTCGCGTCATGTTATCTGATCCAAATGCTATTGATTCTTCTTGTGATAATGAGGACGATTTGTTTCTTGATCTTCACGCTAAAAGTGTTGAGCCGATGTGCTGAAGCAGTGAGTGTCGAAGTCGAGAGTGTCGAAGCCGTCAATCCTTGAGTGCGACGAAGAAACCGAAGTCAAAGCGAACGAAACCGAGGCGGAAGATGCAATTGTCATCGATGGTATAGATGTATTTCTTCTTAGACACCATGTAACTGAATCATCAACGTGCGAAATCCTTGAATTAGATGCAGGAGGCCTTGGGACCGAGGATCTGATTGATGTCGTTGCGGTTATAGACTTCGTAATCGAAGCCCTCGGGGACATTGATGGTCTTCGATGGATCTCCGTCCTGCACGATGATGAGATGGTAAAACTGTAAGAAGAGTCTCCACATCTCCAAAAAATCAAGGTTTCGAGCCGTCGGAATAACGATGTTAGCTCATCCATCAGAAGAAGAGAGATCAGTACCGTAGAAGGCGAAGGTGCACCGACCATCTCTCTGTAACTTGGATTTGTTGCGAGATCTACTTGAGAAATGGGGAGAGCATAGCTAGATGAAGAGGAAGATAACCAAAATCCAAGAAAGAGCATTTTTTCTTCTAAAAGAAAAGTTCCTCCCTTCCCGTCTCACGAGAAGACCGGCGAGAAGAGAGTTTTGACGGTCCCTCAACGACTATTTGTGGTTAGGGCAAAAATTTAGCTTTGATACTATGTCAAAGTTTTGAGAAAAATATGTTGAATACTAAATAGGCTCGATGCCTTTCCCTTTGCTTCCATTCCTTTAAATAATAATCTTACAATCTATTTTAGGTAAAAAATAAAATACATAATTTATTTCAGGTAACTTAATAATACATATTCCTAATCTAAATATTCAACTAAAAGGGAAATAAATCATAATAAAGATTTTGAAAATAATTTAAATAAATAAACTCTTAATTATAGAAAACTCCTAATTTAGCTCTCTGATTTTCGTCTTCCTGATTGACATTAAATAGTCTTGATTTTCAACAGCATTGTCATTGGCATCTTGAATAAATTTGAGGTGAATTGAGAAGTTAGTATTCAAAAAAGAGTCATTCAAGTTTGTTGAAAGCAGTTTGGAGATCTGCGTCGTCCATATCATGTAGTTTTCTTGAGTGAGAGGGGCGGCATAGAAACTCTTGATGTGAGAAATTAAGAAATTTAAAGAATTTGGTATGTTGTTTTCTTTTATTTTGTAGAGGGGTCGTTGTTGTTCTTGTGTAGATGTGGAGGAGCTGAAGTCCATTTCTGCTGATGAGCTTGAGTAGCTCTGATACCATAAACAGTGAAGCGGAACAGGAAACAAGATATAGAAGAGGAAAGAAGAAGAAAGATGGCTGGAAGAAAGCCAGAAGAAAGATAAGAAACTCAACTCCTTTTATTTTATTTCTCACTTACATTAATCGGGCATTACAGGTTCATATATATATAGCAGTGGAGTGGTAAAATAGTAGATAGTATAGATATATATATATAATTTTATTATTTCAAGATAAAATGAGCCGAACACGAACGAACAAATCTTTGATATTTTGGGTATAGTTTGTAGTGAGGCAAGTTAGACAGTACTAAAACCAGAAAAAAAGTCTATTCGATGTTGAATGGTATGCAATGGTTGAAGTCTGATCTGAAAGATCCTTGGTAGTAGATCTTGGAGAACGTCTGAACATTTGCAGAGATTTTCGCTTAGTTGTTGTTTTATTCAGTAAGCATTAATGCACAAAAAATTGTTTTTCACACTTATAAGTAGATATATTTTCATCTCCTGAAACAATAATGAAGATGATGTTATTGGAAGGACCAGATTTATGAATCTAAGGTGTAGATAGCAACCGAAGCTGCCTGCCCTTCCAATCAAAGGAATAAGCATTAGCTCCACAATCATACATTGCTCCCATTTCAAATTGCCAATGTCAACCTTGAATAAGGTGGCATACGTCCATTTCAAGAGCATCACATAATTTTTTTTCAATAGACAAGGTTACTCTACAAATATCAGTGATAGATACATATACTACTTCTCAAATGCTATTGAGTTTCATGCATAGCTTCCTAACGGTGATCTTTGTCACTTGTCGTTTTTCCACCACCATAACTCTGAAACCAAAGCGATGCATGCGAGAAAGACTAAAAAGGAAGAAGGCAATACTAGCAAGCGATCATTTTCAGCATTTTTGATAACACTATCTTATATCTCAAGAAACACTCTTTATAATAAAATAGCTAGGTAGTGGGGAATTAAGCTCACGTGATAAGGAGAATATGTTTTAACAATGTCATTGAGTACCAACAAGTCCATAATCAATTATAGTCAAATATAACGAAAAGTTCGGCGAGTAATAGTTAATAAGCCAAGGATAAATGTATCCCTTGCATCATGATTCCTAAATATAAATTTAAGTATCGAAATCTACATGAGCAACTAGCCAAATCAAACAAATAATGCAATTTATGGCTGCAAACAATTTGTGGTGGTTTGTATAACACTAAAAAATACTATATTATTTCTCTAAATCATCGTCGTACAAGCCTCTCAAGTGAACTTTTAAGATAAAAAAGACCAACAATAAAGCACACAAACCAGAAGAAAATTTTAAGAGCTATGATAAGTTATCTTGCTAGAAAAAACAAAAACTACATCCAATAAGCTAATGAAGCTCTTTAACGATACAAATAACCATAATGCTAATCACTAATTAGACAGATAGGACTTATAATGATAAAAATTCAAATTCATGACTTACTTTGAGAAGAGGACTAATTTTGAAGAAACCCATAACTTCTTCCTTTGATACTAGTGTGATAAGAGGAATAAGTGCAAAAGGCACTTGAATTGATTGAAGCACATTAAGTGACTCATTCAAAGCATCCATTGCCGATTCTGAAGAATCGAAAGATAGAGCAACTATTATTGCTGGCACAACTGCAAAACTTCGAGTAATAAGTGCCCGAACCCATTTCTTCACACGGAGATTAAGAAATCCTCCCATGATAAACTGTCCGGCATAAGTTCCTGTAATAGTGCTACTCTGCCCAGATGCTAACAATCCTAGCCCCCAAATATAGAGTATAGGAAACAAAGTAGTCCCATACTTCTCCTGTAGAACTTGTCCAGCATTCTCAAGGCCAATATCAGCAGCTATTTTAGTACCATAAAATGATTTTGCAAAAACTGTGGTAACAAAGATGTTGATAATGAAGGAAATAGCAAGAGCTGCAGCAGATTCTAAGGAGTAATATCTCATTGCTTCGCTAACTCGGCTTCTCCGCTTGATGTTAACCTTTCGAGATTGTACTAGAGCAGAATGCAAAAAAACATTATGGGGCATAATAACACACCCTACTACACCCACAGCCTGCTTTATGGTATTGGAACTGAGTTTTGGAACCAAAACACCTGTGATGATGAATCAAAACTCAGCTAGCAATGCAAATAAGTTAAAAGGACAAGTTTTACTACACAATGAAGATAAATACCGATAAGAAGATCCTTCCCACTGGGCTTAGCTTCACCAAACATTATAGCGAAGGAAATCGCCATGGTTGCAATAAGAAGAGCAAAAAAAGCTTCCAATTTTCTCACTCCATAGTTCTCAAGGAACAGAAAAATAAAGCTGGGAAAAGCATGATAAGGAAAAACTTTCATTAGCCAGCATAAGAAAAAAAGAAGTTGATTCATTAAAATCCAACCAGCTTCCTCCTAAAAGTTCGGTATTATTAGGTATTAACAATAACACTCATATTATGGGTGAAAAACTTCATCCAAAGTTGCAATAATCAATAAAAGGTTTTTAAACTATGATTAACACAAAATCAAAGTTAACTTCACAAATTGCATTGAGACTAATGTAAAAAAACTAGTCTTGCAGAACAGATTTATGTAACCATCTCTTAAACACAAAATACCATAACTGGACAATATTCACTGATCTGGAATCCCCTAAATCATCAAAGATGCGTAGTTTTAACTTTCCATATATATTCAATAATTTAAAAACCTGATGATCTAGGAATGTCAATATCCATGCACCAAAATTTCAAATGGCCAAATCATAATACAAAAACATTAATAAACTCTACAAAAAAGAAAACAAATTCCCTTCTGAGAGCTCATTTGTTTGTTAGTAAATAGAAAACATGTTAAGAAAAAAAATAACATCAGAGGAAGTTTAGGAGTGTCTACGGAACCTAAAACAAGTGATGGAACAGGTAAAATGCAACTATTTTTCTTTTCCAATACAGTATTTTCTAACGTCAAGCAACTACTTATAACCTAAGACAACTTCCCAAGCTATATCAAACGGGTAGGAGTTGAAAAATTACACAGTAAGAAGCTGATTTTTTCTAATAAAAGCAATCATAAAACAAAATTAATCATCTAAAGTGTAAGTTTAAGAATCAATTTAAACCTTATTTTCAAAAAATCAAAAATCTTCAAACATTACGAAGACCGTGAAGAAACTAAAAAAAAGGATGTACCAATCAAGGGCTGTAATAACAACACCGCTCCACAGAGGAATAAACCCGCCACTCAGTATTCTAATAGCAATCGCACTACCAATAACCTCCTGAATATCAGCCCCAATAAGCGCAAGCTCCGCCATAAGCCACAACACAATCCCCGCCCATCTCGGATACTCCTCCCGACAAAGCTCCGCAAGATGCCGCCCCGTCGCCACCCCAAGCCTCGCCGACAAAAGCTGAATCAAAAGCCCCATCACCGTCGCCCAAAGAAGGAGCCAAAGAAGACTGTATCCCGCAATCGCTCCGGACTGAAGGTCGCCCTCCAGGTTTCCCGGGTCGAGGAAAGCAATGGACATGAGGAATCCGGGGCCCGTGAAGCGCCATAGCTTCCGCCATGAGAAAGGGGGTGGAGGCGCTTCGTCCTCCGCCGTTTCTGAATCCTCGTCAGAGATTGAAATTATGACCTTCTCGTCGGATTCATAGGCTGTTTCCTCCACATCATCGTCCTCAGATGCCGTGAGGAGCGACTCCTGTACTTCTCTCTCTCGGGACGCCATGACTGCAGAGAAGAGCTCTGCTGTTCGTTTAAAGGGGATTTCACTCAGGTGGTTGGAGAAGAAATCCCGTATTTGTAGTTAGTGTCCAGTGAAAGTTTAGCAATTAGATTTCACCGCGAGATACACCGCAGTCGTCAACATGACACGTGGTAATTTGTGCTATGTGGCTGGTTGTGAGAGGAGAGGGGATCAATTAGCATTGGCTAAATAGGCCGATTTAAATATTTATTTCCATGGAATAAAGTTCCTGAATAAATATAATATGCAACTTAAGATATAAAGTTATATCATAAATTCAAAGACTTTTAAGAATATTTATGTACTCAAGTTCATATGTAATTACATATCTATCATATCAACTTCAGTTTTTACGTACTAAATTCATATGTAATTATATATCTATCTTATCAATTGTTGTGTGTTTACTGCAGCCCCCGCCAATCACCCTACCTCCCCCACACCCCCACTTTTTTGCTGCCTGCAACCACCGACAAATACATTACTTTGAAATATATTATTTTCATCTGACTTCAATCGAAATAAAGTGATTCATTTATTTACAGCAAACAAAACAAATTAAAAGTATTTCACATGTAATATGTTTACCCATGTATTGCATTGATTTTGCACTGCATTATCTTTTCAACAAACCAAGCAAATCTTAAAGTATTAATGCTATTTTTTTCAGAAAAAAGTGGGCTCAAAATTTAATATGCACGATTCAAACTCGTGATCTCATGATAGGAGACAACAACCTCAATTACTATGTTGCGAATAAATACACTTGGTTTCATTTATTGATCCGCTTTTGGGCTAATATAAATATTATTATACTTAAGGAAAAAGCAATTTATTATTTACCCAAAAATTATATATATATATATATAGCAGAAGGATAAGATTATAAGAAGCTGTTACGTGCATTTTTTAACCACCACGTGGGATTTATACAGCGTTACGGCATTACTTGTGGACCGCACATGCCCGCCGCGGCGAAACTCGCCGTTATTTATTTTATTCGTTTAATAATGACGTGGATTAATATTTGATGACATGTCTCTCTTTGATAAGACATTAGGGCAACTCGTGTAGCGCGAGTGACCGGACCGGTTGAAAGTGCGGAAAGAGCGTGTTTAGGGGCCCATGGCGCGCGGCTCTTCGCTCGGGGGGGCGCGCGCGCGCGTGCGATTGGCTCGAGAAGACTTTAGGAATGGAGTTATTGAGGGGTGCATTTTCTATCTAGGTACCTGATCTACCTCTACGTGTGGCGTAGATTATTTTTGGATTATTTTTAGGTTATTTTTGTGTTATTTTCAATAATCCCGAAATAACATAGAAATAACCCAAAAATAAATATCACGGGTTATTTCTAGGTTATTTCGGAATTATTGAAAATAACTCAGAAATAACCTGAAAATAACTCAAGAGGAATACCACGCGCCGCACGTAGAGCTACGTAAAGAGTCCGCATAGAAAAATTTTTGGTTATCGAGAGGCTAAAGAAAAAGAAAGAGAATAAGAATTCTTTTTTTATTATTATTAAGGAATGGCAATTATAAGAGCTTTCAGCCGCCGTTAATATGTCTAATAATTCAAGTACCACCTTCGTAAGGTCAATTGTGTCAGAGAAGATTCAAACCCCCGACATGAAAGTTCTTATATCGCTGATGATGACCAACAGTCTAGGATACACGGCATACTGAGAGATAATACATACTTGATCTCGTTGTACATTGAATTGTATGTATAATAATATTATTGCAGATATAATACATATTTATATAATATATATAATAATACTATTCAAACAGGTCAATATGCATCCTGATTCTATAACTAATTTTTTTTTCAAACAATTAATTGGTGTAAATGCTTGGTTCGACTCAATAAAAGGCATTTGAGCTGAGCTCGATGGCTCACAAGCCAAGCACAAGCTTATTCTAACTCGACTTAATTGCATGTGTATCGGCCCGTGTAAAATATATAGATACAAAATATACTTAAAATATGATTATTTGAAAATTAAAAATGGTATATTTAAATTATTCAATATGATAAAAATGATATTTTACATTTTATATCAATTTATTTATTATTATTTGGGGATACTTACATACATAGTGCTCGAAAATATTGTTATTTACAAAAATTAGGACCTATGTGGACAGGATAAAGTTATTGAGAATTTGACAAAAATAAAAAATACGGGAGTGGGGTTTTATTGTGGATTGCGATATTTTAGTGAGAATTTGGAAGAAGTATGAAAGTGAGTGTTTGATCTGTAAATAGTAATGTTTCGGGTGTTATGTATGTAAACAGTGCTATTATTTATCTTCTAATTGATCTTTGTATTTAACATTGGAGGCATTTACATACCTAACGCCTAATTTGTATGTATTTACATATCTAAACACCTAAATTTTCGTTCTATCATTTACTAAGGCCCAAAATGTTCGCATAACATTTAAAATAGTACTATTTTCACTTTAAAAAGGTGAAAACACATTTTTTTCATGCATGTAAATAGTAGCATATATGTAAAAATTAAAGTTTAGATATTATATATGTAAATACATGTGATGCGTAACGGTTGTTTCGTATCGGTAACATGATGAATTATCATCTTAGCGTTGCACGAAGACTCAACTCACACTCAGGCAATTAAATTAAATATAAAGAGACACCTCAAAATTTTATGTGAAAAGCTCTTAAAATAGAAAAAAAAAATCACATAGTCTAGCCTAATTGAAAAAATTAACTGTAAATGGTGAGTGCACGTGTCCAATCTTCTTCTAAATTAGGGAACAAAGAGTGATAAAGTTGATCATTTTAAATGAACAACAACGACTCATTGATAAGAACTGTAATCTAGTCATAATGAATGGAGTTATTGGTGATAGCCAAACTATGAGAGTCGTAGCAAATTGTTATGAAATTCATAGCTTGACAGGAATGTTGTGAATGGTGGCTATGGCGAAAACTTGTTGTATAGGTCGTAGTTGAAATCAAGCTTTGTTGATAGTTGGTCTCATGAGGTGCAGATCGTTGCTTTTGAAGAGTCATTTGGTTGCAGAGACCATAATAGAAAGTTGTAGAAGTTATGAGCCACATAACTCATAGTTAGACACATATGTCGTAATGGTGAATTGGGATGATACTTGTAGGTCATAGGGGCTGGAGATGGGAGTTGGATGAGCTTGTCGATTGCGTAGGTCGTACTGGTGAGGTGTGTTGACGTCTCTAGGCCATAGGTGCTGGGGTCATGAGTTGCATTATTCATGGATCGCTTGGGGCGCAGTTGATCGCTTGGGGCGCAGTTGGTCCCATTCGCATTAATAGTAAGCTGTGATAATGTCCGTAGACCATAAGAAACGGAGTAAAAAACTGCACGAGCTATGAACCATTTAGATTGTAGTTGATCTTGTAGGTTGTGACAGTGAGTTGTGATGACATATGTAAGCCGCATAGGTCAGAGTTGATAACTGCATAAGACGTTGAACACGCGGGTCATGATTGGTCACATAGGCTGCAACGATGAGCCATGATGATGTCCGTAGATCATATAAGCTAGAGCTGGGAGTTGCACAAACTATGGACCAAGTATGTCATTTTGGTCGCGTGGGTTAAAGTGTTGAGCAGTGATGACATTTTCATACCATGGACATCGAGGTGGAGATTTGCATGAATTATGAACCACATAGGCTGCAATGGCGACCTATGATGACTTCCATAGGCCGTAGGGCTTGAGTTAGGAGCTGCACGAACTGTGGGTCGTGTAGTTCTTAGTTGGCCATGTATGTCATAATGACGACTAGTGAGTTGCAGTGACATCCGTAGACCACATAGATTGAATTCAAAATTTGAATGACATGTGAACCACATGTATCATATTTGGTCTTATAACATGTAACAGTGAACAATGACGACGTTTGTTGCAGCAAAGGTTAGAGTGGTGGTCTGCTTATTATATTTATCATTTTATTATAACACTAACTAAATTTAATATTACTTTTCTCCTTTCTAATAAATAAATTGGCACATGAGTTGGCTCAAATTAATAGACTTAAACTTAAGCTTGAGATAGAACTCCATAAAATTATTAACTTGAGCTGGCTCGGATGAAAAAGCCATACACGTGCGAAAAAGGTATGGAATGCTTATCGGTGTTGACACGGCACGTGCAGGTCTTTGAGCAGCGCGGCCGGCGAGGCGAGAGAAGGAAGGGCAACTAACTGATCTAGGTTTTCCCCAGCGACAGATCCCGACATTCTTTATCGCCGCCGAATCCTCGGGGTTCTCACTCTTCCTTGATTTCTTACTGCCCCCTTTTCGCTGCCGCTCTAGTAACTGATCTAGGGATTTAT